GCAGGGGGGGGCAACGATAGACAATATTAAAAGAAAGAAATTAGTAAATAGAATGTTAAAAACCCTTCTAAAATCGATCCTGAGGTGTCAAATATAATAGATCAGCTCTGGCCTCTCGCTCGCTTCGCTCGCGAGTTAACTGAACATGTTGTGCTTTTCCTACCTTTAGCTCAGACTGTACTGACTTCAAGGTTGCATATGTAAGGAATGCTCCAATTCCCTATCAATATAATTGATACATTAGATCGACCCACTCCTCTCAATAACTGACGTAATATTCAGAGTTTAAATGAAAATTTCTTTTGGCTCGCTTCGCTCGCGAATTTTGCAGTTACATATGTCCTCTTTGGCTGGCGAGGCAACCGTATCCAACATTACAAAAGGTTGGTTGGTGCTTAGTTGCACATAAGGCTGACTGCCCTTCCAATCTTCTTGTTATTTGCGGTCGATTCAGTGTTAATTCAATATCCAAATTATAAATAATGAAAATTAAATAAGATAATAGCCCCTAGTAGGTAGGCAACTTTCATAACTTCGAACCGTTTGCCCCCCCCCTGAAAAGTCGTCCTGTCGACGCCCCTGCAAATATCTTGGGGTCCCAAAAGGTTCAGGGCGGTCATTAGAGCCCAAATGTACCCCATAGTAATTGTACCCCAGGAAATATCATCGGGTCCCTATGAACTCTAATGACAGCCATGGCATGACAGCCCTGAACCGTTTGGGATTTGTGACCCCATAATATTTGGATCACGAGATGTGGGCACGATCCCTAACGGGTGTAAGGGAAACGCGGGATAATGTGACGTCAAAGCACCGTAAAAAAAAAGATCCAGCCGCATCACCACATGTTTTCTTTCTCCTCGGTGCGCAGACCAGCCCCCGGACATCGTGGCGTTCGTCATAACGCTGCTCATGACGCTGCTCATGGCCGCCGGCGTCAAGAAGTCGCTCGTCTTCAACAACGTGCTCAACGCCGTCAACCTGGCCGTGTGGGTGTTCGTGATGACGGCGGGGCTGTTCTACGTGGACTCGAGGAACTGGTCCGAGCACAAGGGCTTCCTGCCGTACGGCTGGTCGGGGGTGAGTCGAGTCGAGCCGCCGCAATATTTTATCGCCCCGACAGTAGCGTAGGAAGTTTCGTTCTTTTCGGACGGAGATGTGACGGCCGGAACGAGCTGAGTCAGGCTCATTGCCATTCAGCTTAATTCGAGATCTCGCTCGTCGCAGGGCGTGGTGGTGGGACGGGGCAGAGCGTGGTTGGTGTAGGGGGGGGGGGGGGGAGGCACACTGTCACTGAAAGGGATCTCGTGTTCGCGATCGCGCTGAGGACACTTTACTTCCTTCTCGACGGAGCTCCGAGTCCAATCGCAGCCAGATACCGCCTTAGCTCCTCCTTCTGTTTCAATTTTTTTTTTTTAATACAGGCGCAATCTCTTGCACACCCCCTCCCTTTCTCGCTTGCCCCAGCCGCCTATCTCGCCCTCTCTCCCTCTTTCTCTCGATCTGCGCGATCTTTCAAATCTCGATTTGTATGGCCCGAACCCCCAACGACTCGCAACTCGCCTCGGGGGCGCTGCTCCGGTCCTTTTTTCCCTCTCACCCAAGAGTTTCCACTCGGCGGCCTGCCGACCAAAGTCGTGCGCTCTTCCCCCTCCCTCCCTCCCTTCCCCGCACGCGCTTCTGTTTGGAAGGAGCTTTGCCGATATCTGTGGCGACCGTCTGCTTCCCCCCTGGAAGGAGCTTTGCCGATATCTGTGGCGACCGTCTGC